GTTCAGTGGCTGTTGTTGTGTATTTGTTACGTTTGTATATTTTGTGGTGACAGGACTGCTGGCCTTCATAGCTGGAGCTGTGGTTCTGATGCTGCCTGAAACCAGAGGAGTCCGTCTTCCTGAGACCATCCACGACGTGGAGTTCCCTCAGAGGTGAGGCGCTCCACTGGCTTCTTTATATCAGTACAAATAAACAGAAAAAAAGTCATTTAAATGAAATGTTGAATTTATTCAGCACTGAGTTACATTTGTAAAAATGTAATCACCAGGGAGGAATGTAGATAGATGTGATGTTTTTATATAAATGTATCATCATCATCATCATCATCATCATCATCATCGTTGATGTAAAATGTACTAAACAGACTTTTTTTTTTGTCATTTCAGAATAATTCCAAGGTCGGTGGAAAACCATCAGACAAGAACACTGATAAAAACAGACCTGACTGTTAACAAGGAAACAACCAGCGTGTGATTGGTCGACTGTCACGTGTGTGTATATGTGTGTATGTGTGTGTGTGTGTGTGTGTTTTAATAGAATTGTCTTTTCAAATCAACATGACGAGTCACCAAAGGTAATTAAAAAAACATCTTTACATCTCCTCTTCACTCCTCTTCTCCTTTATCTGTTTTTTTTAATTTTATTTCTCAACTCAAATGGGAAAAAAACACTTCTCGTCCTGGAAACAGAATTCTAATCTTTGTTTCTGCTGCAGAACAAATATGACATGACCTCAGACTGGACACGGTCCAGACATCTCCCTCTGCTCTGTTCATCTTTTGTCTTCAGTTGTTTTTGATGGTGCTTTCGATCCAGTCGATGAACTTGGACACTCGAGCGTAGACGCCCGGTTTCATGGCGTTAGCGCAGCCCAGACCCCAGGATGTGACGCCCTGAAGTATGTAGCGGTTTTGGGAGTGACACACCAGAGGACCGCCGCTGTCACCCTGCAGAGGAAAACAAAAAAAAGTTAAAATTTAAAAGCACAACAAGGATCATCAGAAGAAGAGATCCTCAAACAAAGAGTCCTCAATTTAAGGCCAAGTAATTATTACATGGTGGATAAAATAAATAAAATCTTATTTCATTTTTTAAAAATTTCACACACCACTTCATTTTTGGTGTTGCGACGTGGGTTCTTACCTGGCAGCTGTCGGTTCCTCCCTCGATGTTCCCTGCACACATCTCGTGGTTTTTGACTCGACCGTTCAGATACGACGCACGGTTGCAGACCTTGTTCTCGATCACAGGGAAACCAGCTTCCTTCAGGATACCATCACCTCCAGTACCTGGGACACACACACACACACACACACACACACAGGTGTTTCTAATGACTTTGTGTTTGATAATAATAATAATTTTGATACATTTACAGTATTTTTTAACGCAACATGAACTCCTTTAACGAAGCCTCACCTGCACTGTTTTTTATTTGTGTTTTATTTGTTGATGGCTGTGGCCACTAGTGGGCGGTCTCTTACCCTAACCCTAAACAAGTCTTTTCCCCTAGTGACGTATTAAGAACCTGTTCACCGTCCTGTACCTTGAGTTTCACCCCAGCCAGTGACGTAACACTCTGTTCCACTGGGAACGATGTAGTCTTTCTCTGGCAGACAGACCGGCAGGACTTTATCGTTGATCAGAGCAGGGCTGAAAACACACACACACAAATGAACGTGTTCGTCATATTTCACATGAGAAGCACTTGGACTTGTCTTGCGTCCAGTTCTGACCTCTCCAGTTTGAGCAGGGCGATGTCAGCGCCGTTGGGTTCCAGGACCAGTTTATCCAACCTCCTCTGCTGTTTGGACGGTTCGGTGGCTCGTTCTGTGTGGACGCCCAGAAGAACCAGGTACGCTAATGGTCGTCTGGATCTAGAGGTCAGAGGTCAGCTTTAACTATCATGATAGGATTTGGTGACCAGAGGTGTGTGAGTGTGTGTGAGTGCTGACCTCTCCAGACAGTGTGCAGCAGTCAGCACCCACTGACGGTGTATCAGGGTTCCTCCACAAAAATGAACTCCACCGCTAAAAATAAATTAAATTAATCAAAGCAGATAAATGATTGTGAAATTGTGTTGTGACAAAAAATAGAGTTGGAGGACAAAAACTCAAGACACTGTGATTGGTTTAGCTGCCTTCCATTTAACCTGGATAAACTAGGACTACATATTTCCAGGTCCAGCTCACCTGGTGCGGAGGCTGATCTGCCAGGGCCAGGAGTAAGGTTTAGACACACAACCTCCAACGATACGACCAAAACAACGCTTGGGTTTGATGACTGGTGTCCCACAGCTCAGCCCGGCTGAAAGACAAACAGGAAGTTAGTGTTGTACACATTTCTGGAATACATTGATAAAAAGATATCTTTTAGTCCTTATTAGTCCTTTAAATTCCTTATTTACAAAAACAAAATAAATGTTTTTTTCCAAAAACTTATTTTCATACACTTTGCAACCACAAGAGGGCGACAATTCAACCTCAGGGGCTTAAGAGCAGATATCAGTTTACTCTCTTCACTTCAAACTGCTTAGTCGAATTGTCATGAATGCCAATAATGCTAACACTTGTTCATCAATTTTATAAGTCTGTACAAACGGTACACGTGACGTCACTTCGTCTGTGACAAAGGTAGATCAGGCTCCAATCTCAGTACTGACCGACGTGTGGTTAAACTCTGCATGTGTATCAATTAAGTTTCACTGACTAGAGTGTTGTGGCGCCCCCGAGCGGGAATAAACCTAATGACATTGTTCAGTGGGACCTGGTCCGTCTGTTTATACGATATAGAAGAACGTTTGAATATTTAATGTATGTTAACACGGCTCGAGGTTGAAAAAGTCTGAAACAAATGTAAAAAAAAACATGCAAATAAAAGGTTTATTTAACATGTTGGAGTTGATGTTGTAATGTTGTACAACTGCTGCTGCTGTTGACCAAACTTTGTTCATTTGTTTTACAGGTGCAAACAAAGACGGATGAGTAAGCTGGTGCAAAGTTCATCCATCAGAAAAGACAACCACAGACCAACAAGTCAGGACTTCCAGGTAAAGTAAATAAAAAAATGGGAAAAATGCTTTCACATGCCACAGTCGGGGATCTGACAGTAGTCCCACTTCTTGTTCCTGTCCGTTGTGTAGCACCACGGTCCGTTCACGTCACCGTCCGGGTTCCTGCAGCTCTGACAGTGACAAGCAGAGACTTCTGGTTAAAATCACAGAAGGAGTTAAAGGCAGACTTTTATTGTGAAAAGACAGTAAAAAAAAAAAGAAGAACCATTTACATTTCCCTCCAGCCCCTTGTCAGGGTGGGTTGTTGGCGTGAAGCTGTTGTGTGTGTGGGGACTCTGAGCACTCCAGGCCTGACAGGTCACGCCCAGGATGGTGATGGAGGTTGGACCTCGGTACGTTGCACCGTTACCAACCTTACAGTCTGATGGAAAAAAAAAGTATAAATGAGGTCAGAAAATTGTGTTTATTTACGTCTGAAGTAAAAATACTGTTGTGATGAGAGGAAATTATTTTTGTAATATTTTGTAAATATTTTGTTTTATTTTATTTGTGAACCTGACTGATCTATAGATGTATTTCAACATTTCTGTGGTCAGAATCGCTGAATTTACGCATTTCCTGTTCAAATACACGGGAGAAGGGCGGGGCGCGGCAGCCATGACAGTTGTCTCTCTTATTACTGACTGAAACAGGTGCAGTTGCCCAGTACTGTCTCTCTTTATATTGTATTTTCATATACGTGTTTGATTATACGTGTGCTCCACCTGCTGGCGTTTCTCCGTCTGTCTAATATATGATTTAGATTTGCCGTAATGTACAAGGTGAAGCAGAGAGTACCACGCCACACTGATAGGGGGCAGTGACGTGCGGTGAGGTACAGTTCTGAGCCCCGTAGAAAAAATGGCTAACAGTTGCACGTTGCTACGTCCTCTTTGCGTGGGTTTGTCGCGTTTAACGGTTGTTTATGGAAGCGGAATACTTATGTAAACCTTTTCCCAACAAAATGGGTGATTACATTTCAAAGATCAACTCCGAAGCCGAAAGAATTGCTTC